TCATTGCCACAGATATTTGTTGATTCTTGCTAGTTTCATTTTCAAAAGGGGCTCTGTCTCTAAATTTGAGACACTTTTTAATATACTGACAACTCCCCAATTTTTTAATATATAAAAAATTCATATAAATATATAAAAAATATAAAAAATTCATATAAAGAATTCTGCTTAGGGGTCATGAGCTTAAACCAATTTTATTTCGTAGATGAGCCATGGTAATGATGAATACATGTTAATAGCTGACATTTATTGAGCACTTACTGTGTGCCAAGTACTAGACTAAGTAATCCCATTCAGGCCTCACACTGCTTTAAGTGCTTGTATTTCCATGATCTAGTTTACAGATGAAGAAACTGAGGCACAGAGAGCTGGGGCGAGGATGAGTCAGAATTCAAACCCAGACAGCCTGACTCTGAGCCTACCCGCTGGACTACCTTGCACAGCTGCTTCTAATGCAAAGACCCCCTCACGAGGGTCAGGGGTTTCACAAACATTGCCTGAAGTCTCATAGCAACCTGTGGGCTTCACACAGCAACCTGGCCACATTAGAATCAGCTGAGAAGCCTTTAAACCATACCCAGGCATGGAGCAAATACCATAATGGGTTACCATTTGGGAACTCTACTGAAGAGTAATGGAAAAGTTCTGCACTATTCTTGTAGTGTTTCTGTTCATCTGAAATTTCATCAAAATAAAACAAAGTGAAAGTAAATAAAGAATGTAGTAGGACGATATTAGCTGACCTGAAGGGATTTCTACAGGAATTGTTGATAGCAAGAGGTGTTAATGAAAGTGTTAATAACAAGATCCAGAAACATATGTGTGATGTGATCCCATCTGTGTACAGCAAATAGTGACAAAATACACACAGGCATGCCTATATATCCTTACAGGAAGATGGAATGGAATATGTATGATACATTTTAAAAATTCTGGATCTCAGTCCCCAGAGATTCTACTTTAGTTATTTAAGGGTAGGACCTGGGCATGGGTATCTTCTTTGCACCTTCCTTAGATCAGGTTTCCTAAATTTGCCGCACATTAGACTCATCTGGGAGGCTTTAAAAAGTCCTGCAGTCCAGGCCACAGACCAATTAAATCAGGCTCCCCGAAAGTGGACCCCGGGCGTGGGTGTTTTAATATTCCCCCAGGGCATGTCATTTGCCAAGTCTGAGAACCAGGCAGGGCCCCTCCTGAAGCCAGGGCTGAGAATCACTTCCAGGAGGGAAGCGAAGTCTGGTGTGCAGCATTACTATGTGATAGGCAGTTGATGTCCATTTCAGTCCCGGGAACAGCCCATGGGTTAGGAACCGGTTCCCCAGGAGGCTGGTTCTAGAGATCAAATAGCCTCCCCAAGGTCACAGGGCTGGGAGATGGTGGTGGGCATCCTGATCTACTGTCCACAAGGAGGGTGATGCTAGCTGCTTCGGGAAGGTTTCATTGCCTCCCAAACTCTCCTTCCCAAGATCATGGGAGTTGAAATTCCTTTAGTAAAGATTCATTACTTTGGGTTCCTCCACCTAAGAGCTATTAAAAAACAAAGCAAATATTCCTGGGAAGAATTGCATGTTAATCAAATTTTTTTTTTCTTTTTAAATTTATTTAATTATTTTTGGCTGCATTGGGTCTCGGTTGCTGCGCGTGGGCTTTCTCTAGTTGCGGGGAGCGGGGGATACTCATTGTTGCGGTGTGCGGGCTTCTCATTGCGGTGGCTCCTCTTGTTGTGGAGCACGGGCTCTAGGCATGCGGGCTTCAGTAGTTGTGGCTCATGGGCTCTAGAGCGCAGGCTCAGTATTTGTGGCGCCTGGGCTTAGTTGCTCTGCAGCATGTGAGATCTTCCCGGACCAGAGCTCGAACCCGTGTACCCTGCATTGGTAGGCAGATTCTTAACCACTGCGCTACCAGGGAAGTCCCTGTTAATCGAATCTTAATGTCTGCCCAGTGAGTGCTGGGTGTTTCGAAAGGAGGAAAAGTTAGAGAGATGCTCAAACATGGGGAAAGAATGTAACGTAGGGGCTGTAAATCTGACCTTGTCATTTTTCTGCTCAAAATCCCTCCATTCACCAGACTCCCTTTGTTAAAAACGCCAAGTGTCATCCCACCTCTAGGCCTTTCCTGCCTCATGGAACACTCCCAGACTCCCCCTCAAGGTGATTTTGGACGCTTCACTTACTCATGAAAGAGAAGGGCCTGCCTCTCAGGCCCGAGGCCAGTGTAAAGCCAAAGAATAAGGAGGCAAGAGAGGTGAGCTTTGGCAAACATTGCTAGGGTTGGGGGTTCGGGGCATCTAGATGCAGGCATGTGGCAGGAAAGCAGGACACAACATCTTTGGGCTAAGGCATGGGGCCCCTATCCCAGGAGGGTTGGAGATTGGGTAGAAGGGACACCTCAGACATGGGAGTCAGAAAAACAGAGTTAGAGTTCTGCCTGTCACTTTCCAACAGTAAAATGAAGGCTAGGATGACAACCTCCTTCTCAAGACTGTGGGGAGGATTAGATATAATACAGGTAAAACACCTAGACTGTATATAGTAGGCCCTTAGCAATGTCAGCGGGACAGCATGCCAAAATTATAGGCATGTGTCATGCGTTCTAGGACCAGGGCTGGAATGAACCTTGACCTGGTCCCTACATCTTTTAAAAATTTTTATTTCATTGTGATAAGAACACAACATTGGACCTAACCTCTTGACAAATTTTAAAGTATGCAATATGGCATTGTTAATTATGAGCACAGTGTTGTACAGCGGATCTCTAGAACTTGTTCATCTTGTGTAATTAAGACTTCATGACCACTGATTAGAAATTCCCCTATCCCCTCACCCCCAGCTCCTGGCGACCACCATTCTACTCTCTCTGATTCTGTGAGCTTGACTGTTTTAAATACTTCATATAAGTGGAATCGTGCAGTATCTGTCCTGTGACTGGCTCATTTCACTTAGCATAAATGTCCTCAAGATTCATCCATGTTGTTCTATACCACAGGATTTCCTTCTTTTTTAAGGCTAATACATCATTGTATGTATAGACCACATTTTCTTTATCCATTCATCTGCCATGGATATGTAGGTTGTTCCCACATCTTGGCTATTGTGAATGGTGCTGCAATGAATCTTTTTCTGTTGATGAGATTTACTGAGTGCTTTTTACTATAGGCCAGGAACTGGTATAAGTGCTTTATATATATTAGTGCAGGGAAAACTCACAACAACCCTATGAGGTAGATGCTATCTTTATCCCCATTTACAGATGAAGAAACTGAGGCCCACTTAGTATGGGCCATACCGTTAGTGGGTTTTAAACTGGGGTTTGAACCCAGGCCATTTGGCTCTACAAGCAGTGATCCTGATCACTGTCATACCGAGAGTATTAAAATCATAATAATGATCATGATTAAGAGCAAACTATGTGTCAAGCACTGTTACTGGCAAGGTGAAGATGAGGCTATGCATCCAGATGAGCAGCAGGGTTGCCCAAGAGAACAGTTAATTCCAGAAGTAACACTTCATGATTTGGAGAAGAGGGATGGAGAGGTGGGTTGTGGTTAAGAGTGGGGCAGAGTGGCCCAGGGGAAAATAATCTTCCACAGCTGTGATATTTGCCTCCATGCATCTCTTTGGTTTATGCAGTTTTCAAAGCCAGACCTTTTCCTATTGCGGAGTCTGATAGGAGTCTATACAGCCTTTGCACTTGGTTTCTTTTGTTACTACCCCCAGCTATTTCCCTTTGTCCTGCTTTGTGCTTCAAAGGGTCAGCTGGTCCCCAAACAGGTGCTGGTTTTTCAATGTCCTTTTTAAAGGATCATACAAAGTAAGCCAGCATCACAGTGTACACTGTACCTCCTTGGTCTGTACTTGTTTTAACAGCTCTAGATTGCATTGGATTTGTGGGTGGTAGCAGTGTACCAGGGATTTATTGGGTTGCAGACACCTAAATACCTAAGCTTTTTCTTTTGTTCTAAAACCACATGTTATGAAGCTAAGTCGTCCGCACCCTGTGTTTGGGAAGTTGTTTCAAGATGGGTCTGGGACATAAGCGCAATGAGCTTTGGGAGAAGATTAGCACTTCTTGTGGTCTAGCAGCAAGAAGTAAAACCAGGACCAGCTTGTTGTACTTTATCTGGTGGATTTGGATTAGTTCCAGGCAGCCAGTGGCTGGAAAATTCTTGAGAACTGGGTCTCACTCCTCTGAGTCTCATCAGAATAAGGAGACACTAGCACAGAACCTGGTCAAGGGAACAGCCCAGAGTTGGGGGCTTACGTTTTAAGGTCTTTAAAAAAGCTGCTCATTTGATTCCCCTCCTCCTTGCCTATTTGATGTTGATCTAAATGAGACCCGGCTGTGCAGTTAGGCGGTGGAGCTGGGAAAACAAACCACCAGCCTCAAAATCAACCTGGGCCCATTTGTGCTATTTTCAGGTTAAACCTCCCAACAGGGCTCTCTGTAGTGACACCACCACCCGATGCCCTCAGCGCGCCTGAAAAACAACCGTCCAAGTCACGGGCAGTCAGCCATCTCCATAAACTGACGAACAGTACACGGAAGCTCTAATGCCATTTATTTCGCAAGGGCAAAATCAATCGACTTTCCCAGCATCCTGCAACTTTATTGAACTCGGATGCCGCTGCGGGATACGTCGCCGACCTCTCCTTAATTACGTATTTGGCTGTTTGCAATCGTGACTCGGCGCTGCAGTCCTGATATCAGAGAAGCGGCCTCTTCTCAGAAGCCTGCAGTAGTAGCGGCAGCAGCGGTAGTTTTCCCGCCCTACCGACTGCTCCCTAGTTGCGAGGTACTGCGCTAAGCGTGCCACCGTGCAAGTCCCGGGGGTCGGCGGCTGCAGGCGCTCGCAGCCATTGTGGGGTGGGCGCTCGCCTAGCCGGCGTGCTGACACGCCCTCTCGGCTCTGCGACCCGCGGCCAAGGGATGGGGGTGGTGCTCGCAGAGGAGGCTCGCGCGGGGGTTGGATCCTCCCCGCACCGCCCGCGCGCCTGCCTGTTCCTCTCTGCAGCCGGCGCCCCACGCGCCTCGCGGGCACGCGCTCCCTGCCCCGCCCGCGTGCGGCGGCCTCACGGCCCCGGGCGCGCGCCCTCCCCGTGCCTCCGCGGCGGACGCACGGCCGCGAGCGCGCGTGCGCCCCCGCGAACGTCCCCGGGAGCCGAGCAGGAGCGAGCGCTGGGGCCGGTCGCGCAGGACTGAAAAGGAGGCGGCGGCCGCGGCTGCGAGCAACAGATCCGGGCTCCGCGAGCAGACCCGCTCTGCTGTTGGGCGGTTTTTTTGTTTGTTTGTTTAATTTCAAAAACATTTGTTAAATTAGAAAATCTTGCATTTTTAAATGGCGCTGGCCCTGGGTCAGCGGGTGGTTTTCGCTGCTTCAAGATGGGATTTGCCGTTTCTGTCGTCGGCACCAGTGGTGGCCTGATTGTCAGTCTTCTCCGGGCATTTTTAAGGCCAGGAGCTGAGCGCTGCATGTAGGCGCCCTACAGAGCGGTTTGGCTTTTTAAATTATTATTCTTATTTTGGGCAGAGAACAGTCGATTCTCGGGCATTCGTCCTCTGTGGAGAAGAGGCTGCGAGTCGGCGGTGGGTCGCTCTGAGGCTGAAATTCCTCCCGGGGTGAGCGATCCTCGGCCCCGCTCATAGTCCAGGCAGCCCCGAGTGTGTGTCCTGTCCCTGACGACGCCGGGAAAATGGAGGCTGTGATTGAGAAGGAATGCAGCGCGCTCGGAGGCCTCTTCCAGACCATCATCAGCGACATGAAGGTAGGACGCTGGGGGCGCGGCTGCGGCGGCGGCCGCCGCGCACTGACCTCGCCACGGGGCTTCGCCTCCGCCCTGGGCCAGCCGCCCGGCCCTTGCCTGCGCCGTGGCCTCCGGCCACCTGCGGCAGCGCTCCGGCCCGGGTGTCACCTGCTCACCGGGGCGCCGCTCCGGGCTCTGCTGGGTCACCGGGCGGGCGGCTTTTCTGGGGGTATGTGATGCCTCCTGACCTCTCCCCGCTCATTGTCCCAGGGGACGGCACCGTCTCATTTCCCTGGGGGCCCAGGGCCGCGGCTCCAAGTTTTCCATTGTCTGTCGCTGGACGGAGTGTCCGCGACCCGCGGAGGCTGGATGCCTGGGCGGACAACTGATTCCCTGGGGTACAGGGCGGGGGCTCTTCCCAGCCGTGGGAAGGAGCCCCCCGACTCGAGAGACTGGGAGGGACCTCCCTCTCCCTTGTTGGCTTTCAGGTCCACCTGGGGGAGATCTGAGCAAATTAGGTATTAATTAGGCTCTTCCAAAGCTGGCGAAGGAGTGCGTGCCTCCCCTCGGCCCTCCCCCGGGGCGCGGAGAAGAAGTTCCCAGAGCAGTTTTGCGGGGACCCCACTTCCCCTGGCTGAGGCTCCCAGCCTGAGGTCCAGACTGCGGCACCTTAAACAACTGTATCACCTAGCCACCCAGCACAAACAGACTCCAGGTTTTCTCTTGGAAGGATTGTGGAGACTCAGTGTGTGTGTTCGACCGCGTGCGGGCGCGCGTGTGTGTGATGGGGGCGGGGAACAACACCCTGGCATTTTCCTGCGAAGGGTGGGACTGGGGATAACCTGATCCTTGGATGTGGATTTTCTGTGCACAGAGATAGACCAGGGCCCTGTGTTACTAATCCAAAGGAAATGTATACGAGCGAGCTGGCTGGAGGTGGGAATTGGGGGCGGTGGGGGGATTTTTTTTCATGTGTATTTAGGGAGCTTCTCTTTGGCTGTAGCCCAGCCCCAGTTTGCCTCAACAGATCCGGGGAGGTGGTGTTTAATTGAAAGCTCGGCTTCCAAAACGAGTGGGCAGGTTTGGAAAGCTGTGCAGCGGGTGGGTGTGGACAGCCCCTCTTAAGCCGCTGCCTCGGCGCCTGCGGGAGCTTTTGTCTGTTGAAGTGTAAGGTTTGGAGAGGGTTCGGCCTCGGAGATGGACTTTGGGAAGGAATGCTCAGCTGTCATGGCCTGTTTCCCCCTCTTAGAACCAGCTGCCACCTCACCCGGGGTGAACTTTTTCCCAGGTGCCTCCGTCCTGGTCTTGTCCATTTTGAAATCCCTATCCAGAGCCTGTGCCTTTTGTCAGAAATTGACATCCGTGTAGCCTTATCTTCAGTGGGACCCTGCTTGCCGAGGAATGCCTCTAATCCAACCCCTTGGAATTAGATGGATTATTCCCTGTTCAAAGACAGCCCTTTCATTCCTTTGCCCCCAATCCACATTGAATAATTGAAGTGCTCTTTTGAGACAAAGCTCGGTGTTCCCTCTGTAGACCCTGGGGTCTTTCTTGTTAACTGAAATTCTATAGGCCTTATAATCAAACAGGATTTGGTTTGAGGCACACGTGTATTCTGATCACCAGGGGAAGAATTCGAGATGGGTTGGGAGAGCTGCTTGTGTTTTTTTGGAGGGGAGAAATGGATGTTTCCAGTCCCTCTGTAGTAACAAGAACCCAGTGACCTAACCCATCGACCCACTGCAGTCCCAGAGTGTTCACATCTGGAGTTTTTTCCTTGCTCTTTGTTCCTTAATCCAGAATCTAGGCTCAGTTCTTCCAATTTACAGGTTTGAACCCAAAGCCCTTCAGAAAGTAACTCACTTGAAGGTAGGCCCTAATGCTTTCTACCTGCCATCCCGGGACTGTCCTGCAGCGCTTTCTGCCTGGGGGATTTGTGGGTGCTAAGGTGGCATGCTTCTCCCTCCCCAGGATTCCAGTTAAAAATACTTATTTAATGCCCTTTTAGTGCTGGATCTATAGTTTGTGGTTCATGAGTTCTTTCCCTTTGAATTGAGTTGGGTTTGTTCAACATCCTGTTGGGAAGACATTTATTTTAAAGGTTTATTTTGTTTTGGCAGTCAGAGATTTTAAAAGCGAAGTGGAGTGGAAGATGAAAACATGCTTTGGGGTCTGCAGAGTTTCAGACTTTTGGGGAATAGAGAGATAAGGAAAAAGAGAGGGGCGGTGTCTAATTTCCAAGATTGTTTATGCTTAAGACTGTTTTCGTGGAGTTTTCTTTTTAAAAGGCTTCTTCATGGAGTAGATGGCAGTGACATTTTAAAAGGGAATTTTAAAATTTGGGCGTTTAGGATAAGCAGTGTATAGTATGCTTATGCATGGAGTTACCAGCAACAAAAGTCAATTTTTAATATCTGAAATGGGCTGTCTTTCTAAGGACCTGCTTATCCTCCTTTTCACTTCCTTGAACTCCCATGATAGGTTTATGACGCCTTTGGTTCCCTTTCTGTTTGCTATGAAGGACACATGTAAATGTTGGAAACCCATTTGGAATGCCATCTTGAGAACGTTTTCAGGTTATTTGCTCAGAAGTGTTATTGGAGTCGGGGGGGGGGGGGGGGGGGGGGGGAAAA